TTTGTGCTCTAATTAAAACTATGATCGTGTCCTATTTGTGTTGTGACATGGTCCAGTTTTGCTTGTGTACCGGATGAAAGCTGGCATGTTCCTATCAAACCAATTATGCTGCATCCCTGTACTTGGCATAACATGGCTATAATTAGCAGGACTGACGAGCTTTTGCCACCAGTTTAGGATGTCAATGTGACATGAGAGTTCAGGGTATCAAAAGAGTCCTTTCTGCATAGTGAGGTACCTCTTGGGAGAATGGGACCCTGAGATAAATGTCCCCTCATCTCCTCCTTGTCTGTATTGCTGTATCACAGTTGGTTTTACAGGTAAACTGTTGGATTTTTTTTGTGTAAAAATATGGTGTCAGCTGTGTCTTCCAGCCATCAGTTTTTAATGAGATTTCTGATTATTGTTGGGATTTACTCCTGACCATGAATTTCAGCTGAAACCGGCCACCAGATTCAGAAGCTGACAGAGCAAAAAGTTTGACATAAGTAGATGGCCCTGACACAAAGTGTAGTTTCATTTAGAAAAAAAACTGAACCACGTGTGGGATGATGGGATGTGGCTCACACATGGCTCGAAGCTGCCGGAACGAGGGACCAGCAGGATGTGCCCCGGCTTGACGAGGGCGCTGCAGTTCAGTTTATTCTGTGACCTGGAGCAAGCTCTCCAGTCTGTTTTGTATCCATGGTTTTTTTTTTCATTCCAGTTTTGTATTTGGGAAAACACACGCAGAGTATTCATAATAATAATATTTACTTGTTGATTCTTTTCTTTTCCAGTTCATTTTGGAAGTGGGTAACTACTCAGATTGCAAGAATAACAAGAGGTTAGTGCGTTTCTAATTCTATAATGCTGTGACTTCCAGCTGTGTGTAATTATCGTGTAAGTGCATCAGTCTGGCAGAGCAGGGCACGCTAAATGCTTGTTCCTCATCCCACCTGTCTTTGTGCTGTGAGGTTTCTCCAGCTGTCATGCTTTTTCTCAATTCTAATTATTATTATTTTTTTTAATTTTGAAGAACATGCATTCATTCCCTGTTGGAACAACACTGAGTTTTTTTGATGCTCAGTTCCCCATATTAAGAGATTCTTCTCTACATAATGATTTTTTTAAAATGGAAAATGGAGACCTGAACTTTTGTATTTTCCTTTGGCAATTGCAAATCGTGCCACTGAGTTTCCATATATGACCATAAAGTAGATACTATCCCCTAATTGACATGGATGGTCTGGGACCCAGAGGTTTAAGGTCAGGGTGAATTACAGAAGATGGCTGAGCCAGTCTGACAGTTCACTGTTGCCAAAAAGGGGAGGTTTTGCTTCTGTCCCCTTGCCATCATTCCTTACCATCCACTCCCTCTGCTGCTCCAGTTCCACTTGCTGAAACTCTTCATGCCATTAACCCCAAAGGCAGCAATTCTGGCTTGAGATGTGCTTGAGCTCTTGGCGCGGGAAGTACAGATCAGATTTTGGGGAGGTAAGGTGTTTGTTCAGCCCATTCTTTTTCTCTTGCCCAAGTGTCTGCTGTTGACCTCAGTTGGAGGTGGGCTTGTGTGCTGAACAGATCTTAGGCAGGCTGCTGTATTTGCTCCCCAGTGTTTGGCATATCAGCTCAGATTCCTAAAAGAATCCTAAGAAACATGAGGTCTTCTGAAAAAATGTGAGAGAGAATGTGTCTTGCACCTGGCGTGGCCTTGGAAAAGGGTGGTTTTGACTGAAAATCCAAAATCCATTATTTGCATAGCAGTAACTAATGCTGTGTGCAGTGCCCAGCACGAGTCCTGGCATTCACATACTGCTAAAATCCAAATCATCAATCCCAGAGTCACTGAATGGCTCAGGGTGGACAGGCCTCTGGAGATCATCTAGTCCAATCCCCTGCTTAAGCAGTGTCAGCTAGAGCAGGTTGCCCAGGACCATGTCCAGTCAGGTTTTAAATGTCGTCACCAACCAACTGACTAACCAAAGAAAAATAGTAAAACAGCAGTTTTTGATTTCTAGTCATGCATTTGTGTGTGATTTTTTTTTTTTTGAATTCTAAGTGAGTACTGCAGTTTAGTCTAAACTAGCAGGTTCTGCAGCAGATCAGAATGACCACCTGCTTTGATCTCATAGTCCTTGTGCAAACAGAAAAGTCAATGATTACAGCAGAAGTAACTATTCTTAATCCTGGACTCCTGTCTGGGTTCAGCTGTGATGTTTTAACACCACATTTCCTATCAGTGAATCTTGCTGTGTCCTCTTTGTCCTGCAGTAGCGGGTATTAACCTCAGCTTTTGGTTTTCTGCTTTCTTTTGCCCCTTACAGTGCTGAGAGCCCAGTTTCTAGGAGCCATGGAAGAATCTTCCCAACCCAGTAAACCCCTGGAGATGAACCCTCACTCTCGCTTTATTATTGGCTCTGTGTCAGAGGATAACTCGGAAGATGAGATGAGCTCCTTGGTGAAACTTGATCTGCTAGAGGAGAAGGAGAGGTCTTTGTCGCCTGTCTCTGTCTGCTCAGATTCCCTCTCAGATCTAGGACTTCCTAATGCTCAGGACGGCCTGGCAAGCCACATGAGGTATGGATGAAATAGTACTCACATTCCATCTTCAGTCTTTCTCCCCCATCCGTTCCAAAGATAACCCAAACACTCAGCTTTATATCCAGGGTTGGCCTCAGATGTTTTTGTTGTGCCAAGACATCTTCCAGCATTCTGTTTCAAAGTGAGCTCTTGTATGTTTATCTGTATCAAAGCCTTCTGTTTTCCATCGGGTTTGATGGAATATCTGTGCCTGAAGTCTTTCAGCACCTCTCGGACGTCCCTGCTGTTGAGTGTTATGGGGGGCTTGCTTACACTGCCTGTCTCTTGTCCTGGCTTTCAGGAAGGGGAGATGTGCTGACTGAGATCTTTGAAGTCTTCACTTGTGTATGTGTTTTAGATGGCCCGTGTTTGTTGTGAACAGGGACAGTATTTGTTTATTTTGTCTTTCTGTGGGATTTTCTACTTTCTAAGTAGCCAGAGAATTGACAGGACTCCTGAGTAAGAGCAATGACTGGTATCACTTGCAATGTTTTTTGGTTTGGATAGAGAAAATTCTGTTGATAGTTAAAGATTGGTGTCCTGCAAAGTGGTGATAAGGCAAGGCTTAACAGTGTAGTTGCTGCTTGCAGCACCTGAATCCTGCTGTAGTTTTTACTGAACAATCCCTCACTACCTTTACTGTGTTGCTTTTGAAGAAATGCTTGGTACCAAAAAGACTTCTGTCTTTTATTGCCCAGCAGTAGATATTTCTATGACCAGCCAATCCTTTAATCTTGTTCTTCTGTTTTGCTGGTTTCTTTGCTTGTGCACATGAAGGAATTCTAATCTGTCCTTTTATTAGTGGTTCCTTTCTCACTTCAGGGAGACAACCTCTGAAAACAAACAGTAACAGCCTGTTTGGGCTGGGGCAGAGGGGGGGATCGTGGTCCATACTTCACAGAATTGTGATGGCCATACTGATGGAGGTGTTTAGCCAGCTGGAGTGCCACTGGCTAAACACAGATATAACAGATATAAATAGAACAGATATAAAATCTTGATGCAAATGTAAAGGGGACCTTTCCAGTGACTGCTAGTTATAGTAATTTGGCAGCACAGAAGGTGATTTTGAAGCAGGAAAAGATCTAGCCCTGTAACTGTATATATTTCAGGAACAGAAGAAGCTGGATGAACACATAACCATTAAGTGTGGGAAGAGACAATAGGAGAGCAAGAAAATCAACCAACTTCTAGGACAGTGCCTGGTACCAGAGAGCTATAATGCAATAGGTGTGCAACCTTGAGCTCCTCTGTTGTAACTTGCTTACTTTGGCACTCTCTGTTGAGGGTACTTGAGTTTCAGTTAAATTGGAGAGAAATGCCAATTCAAATAAAAAAAGTTACAGCGTTATGGGCTGTTTTTCTAAGATAAAGTAAGGTGAATTGAAAGAGTTTTCCAGGATGGTAGTCCCTTTCATCAAAAGATTTCCAAATAATGTTTGCAGATGGAGAAACTGAGACAAAGACAAGATCAACAACTTGCCTGAAGTCAGTCTGTGACAGTGAATTAATGGAACACAGGTATTCTTGCTTCCAGCTTCCTTTTGGTAATCAGAAAGGTACAACGCTTCCTGAAGCGACAAAGATGAATTCCTGGGGAGTTCTGTGCGGTTTGACTAGCAGGTTAAACAAGGTGCAGGTCCAAGGGAGCATATCTTTTTGAAGAAGTTGCCAAAAATCTTGTCATTTGTGGGTTAGTTTCACCCAGGAAATTTTGGTCAGCTAAAGACAGGATAGCTTGTGTGTGAGGTGAGGGGCTTTGCTGCAGAGAAGTCCTTCTCAGAGAACAATTCTATCTAAAATCCAGAGTTTAGTCAGGTGAAAAAGGGTTTGTGAATGTACCTGAATTACCCTTTACCCCTTCATAGAGCATGGCAGGTAGTAGGTCTGTTGCTCCGGTAGCTAGAGAAAAGAGATTTCTTCTTACAGCACAGGAGGCCTGGAAAGTAGGGTTGTGATCTGATTGAGTCATTTTTCCCTCTCATACCCTAGGTCTCTGAAGTTTAGGCAGTAAAACTTCCTTTCTCCTCTTAAACTCCATTTTCTTGCTTTGTGGAGGTTGACTGTAAGACTGTCTAATCCATCCTATAATATTCAGTGCCAGTGATTGTTTGCACCTTATGTGCAACAGCTGTTCCAGCTCTTATCTTGACATCCCAAGCAGATTTTCAGCCCTCTGAGGAGCACTATGTCAATATCAAAATGACTTTGATAATTAGCAATGCTCTTCCTTGGTCATCAGCTCTTATGGACTGTCCCGTTTGTGCTATTTTATAGCAAACACTCATTCTAGTAGAGGCCAAATGAACTGTTGTTGTGAAAGATGCTTGAGCCTCTGATGCCACGATGAGAGTCTCATGGCAGTTGTGTCTCTCATCCCATCTGGTTATCTGAGAGCCTCTTCTCCTGTGGTGACAGGCATTGCTGCTTTTCTCTTGCTCTTAGACCCCCCTAAAAAGCGACATCACGTTCCCAGTTCATGAAACACAGATGCTTCAGCAGATTCTTTGGCACATGTTCAGTACCTGAGGTTTGCAGGTCTTCTGTCTGAGCTGGAAAACATTGCTGAGAGCCTTATCTGACGAGGTCGTGACGTCTAATCGATACATCCTGACCCAACCATGGGCAGTCTGGATGCCAACTCATGTTTCTTCATCTGAGCATGCAGAGTGTGTGTGCTGTGTCGTCCCATCTATCACCCTATTGATCTTGTTAAGTGTTTATGCTGTTGCTAAAGGCAGCCTTCCTGGGACAGGTTGTACAATACAGGCTCCTGTGCCACTAGAGATCTATGAAGACCTTTGATTGTGCCAGTTGGCTACTGCTGTGTAGGATTGAGAAAGCCATGCTCTGATAATGAGCTTTAAATGGGTGTGTGGTACATCAGCGCTTCACACAAAGTGTGTGTTGGGAGAGTGACCGTGCAGGTTAAAATGCTCTGATTCTTTTCTTGTAGTTGTTTGTTATTTAAAGAGTATCAGTAATAAAAGTCATGTACATGCCCTCCTCGCTCTGTTAGATACAGCATCTAACACTGGAAACAAGTGTTCTTAATGAAAATATCCTACTTGTGTACAGTCTGCATCAACAAAATTCACTCTGTGTTGCATTTTGCACTTTTAGATAATAAAACTGAACATTCTTAGTCTCTTTGCTTCCAGACACCATTGTGTTGTCTTTGGGTTCAGACATTTCCAGCCCAAGGCAGCAGTCCCGTTGGGATACAGTTTTTGCTCGTTGTGTAGTGAGCTGTGAGGCAGTTGCTCTGCTCCTTTCTGAAGTTTTAGTGGTAGATTAAGTAACTTTTCTAGAAATGCTACTTGAGAAGTACTTTGGGTCCATTTTGTTTAAGAAATTGTCCTTGACTATTGCTAAATGTGATGCCTGGCTTCAAAGATGGTATCTTGAATGAAATTCTTGTTTAAAAGAGAATAAATCCTGCGTGTCTCCTGGTGTTTGTCCATCAGGGCTGTAGTTCCATAAGCAATGAAATGGGTGTACGAAGTCACCTGACAATCCACTCACATCAACTAAAAGCCAGATTTTTGGAAGTAGCTCCGCTGTTGCCTCTGATATTAAACCCACAGGGACTTTAGCCCTCAGCACCTAACAGTACTTGGCCTTCTCAGGAATAGTCTTAATAAATTACTGAGATGCTTAAGAAGAACTAATCATCTCTTAAAGTAGTTTTGGAAGAACACCTCGATGTTAGTCTGGACAGCAGTGTGTTGAGTACAGCCAGCCTGGCACTAGGACAGGGTGCCTGCTTAGAAACCAGTGATAAAGTGATTGCGCAGAGTGTTAAAAGAAATAAAGAATCCTTTTGAGCTTGTTTTGAGTTAAAAAAAAATTCCTTTCCAGTCCAGCTGTTTGTGGTTGGGAGATAGCACTGTAGGGTGTTGATCTTGTAAATTACAAGTGCTGCTGTAATGTTCTGTACACCTGTGTGCCCAGAAGTGCAGGTATGCTTTAGTGTCTGCACTAAAGGCTGATGCTTTCACTGCCGCGTCCCAGACTGGCCCAGCTGCACCAAAAGGGATTTCTCCTTTGCTGAGCTGATCCTTCCCGCCCCAGGCTTTCTGCGGGGCCACTGCTGGAGCTGAAGACTCCTCCTCTTCCTCTGCTGCCTGTGCTATCAGTTGCCATGGTGCTGCTGAGGTTTTTGTGTAGGGCCACTCATGGGTTTGCATCTCACAGACCAGAAGGTCGTTCATGAAACTGGAATTGCCCGCTGCTTGCTGAGACATTTTCCTTTGCTTGTGATCAATTGCTCTTGGCTCCACAGATCAGTGAAAGTGATACTGATGCATGTTTCTGCAGGTTATTGAAATAAAGCTGTGCATCTTCAAGGAACCCCTGCCAAAAACAAAGGATTTAGTTCCCTATTGCCAGGGAGTGATGTTGTGATTAATACTTCGAACTTCATCCACCTGGAGTGGAAAGTTGAGTTTCCTCCTGTATCTGTTGGAAAAGAGGAAGCTTGTAAGGTGTTTTGGGTTCCTGGCTGTTTCTGGTTATACTGATCACCTGTCAATTGTAACTTCTTTCCTTCTCAGGAAGCTGCCCTGTTTAGTGAACAAATACACTTTAAAGGGCTTTTCATCTACATACCTCTCAAAAGTAACATTCTTCTTATTTTGATGTAATAGATATTTTACTCCCTTTGACCTCAGTGAACATGGGAAATGTCATCTCTAAATTCAGTAATTTGTAGGGAGATTTTGAAAAGGTTACCTGGCTGAAATACCACAGTGGTGCCAGTGTCTCCTACTTGCTCGCTTATCTGATAATTCTAATAGCAAAGCTTGTGCCAGTTTGGGCTCTGAAGTTTTGGAACTGAAGTTCCTGCTTTGGGCTGAAGACCTGCCTTGAATGGCTGTTCCAAATCTGCATTAGCAAGGAAGTGATGTGGCCGGGGGGTAGGGAGAGGGCTGGGTTTGGTTTTTCGTGCCATGTGCTTTATTTAATTTCTTGAAATCCTTATGCTCAATCCTTTG